AATAGAATATTATATATTTTAAAAATACATTTAAATAGGATATATGTTTAAAAATATTCTACCACCAGATTTAAGAATTCTTACATCTTTCTTATAGAAGGAAGCCAGAGGAGAGGGTTTCCAGTCACGTGGTTCATGTCTGTACTCTGAAACGTCATCACGATTTTTTTTCCAATGAAAAGGGAATGGTTTTCTACTCTCAAAGAATGGAGAAATGCCATTTAGCTAGGTATTCACTGGTATTTAAATGAGATGGTTCCTCTGCTAGTTAGATTGCTCCTTGACAGGGTGCTTTCATATAGTGAGTGCTTTCTTTCACAGATCATCTGTTCAATCATAAGAATGTGCCTTATTTTAAAATGAAGAATGCATCAAGCTTTAACAGGTTTAGGCCGGGCACGGTGGCTCATGCCTGTAATCCCCACACTTAGAGAGGCCGTGGCAGGCAGATCACCTGAAGTCAGGATCGAGACCAGCCTGGCCAACATGGTGAAACCCCATCTCTACTAAAAATACAGAAATTAGCCAGGTGTGGTGGCACATGCCTGTAATCCCAGCTACTCAGGAGGCTGAGGCAGGAGAATCGCTTGAACCTGGGAGGTGGAGGTTGCAGTGAGTTGAGATTGCGCCACCACACTCCAGTCTGGGTGACAGAGTGAGACTCCGTCTCAGCAACAACAAACTAAGATTTAACAGGTTTAAACAGAGTTCAAATTGTTTCATTGCTTAGATATTTGACTTTAAATTGCTTTTATGTCTTCTGTGAACTAACAGTTATATTTAGTTGATTTCTTTTTCTAAAATTTGCAGTTTTTTGCTAACAATTGAATAATCATAGGATAGATTTCTATACTTCTCCCTATCACATTCGAATATGAGAGTTCTTATCTCTGTTGGATATTGGCTTACCCAGAGAGTAAAGGCTCTTCTGTGGAGTAACCTTGGGACTGTGTAGACTTAAAATATTCTTGTTTAAGACATTTATGTTTAGAAGATACATTAATAGCCAAATGAAATTAAGCTGTGATAACATGTAACACTTTGCCCTCACCCTACCTACCAGCCTGACCAACACATCTTTCTTTCTTTTTTTTCTTTTTTTTTTTAAGACAGTTTTTTGCTCTTGTTGCCCAGGCTGGAGTGCAATGGCACAATCTTGGCTTACCACAACCTCCACCTCCCGGGTTCAAGCGATTCTCCTGCCTCAGCCTCCCGAGTAGCTGGGATTACAGGCATTTGCCACCAAGCCCGGCTAATTTTGTATTTTTAATAGAGACAGGGTTTCTCCGTGTTGGTCAGGCTGGTCTCGAACTCCTGACCTCAGGTGATCCACCCACCTCGGCCTCCCAAAGTGCTGGGATTACAGGCATGAGCCACTGCGCCCAGCCAACATCTGACTTTCAATATGGGATGTTTTATCCCATCCATTTATGTTAGCCACTAACCGCTTGCCTTTGATTCACGATTTTAATTGTTAATGTCAAGATATTAGTGACATGTTAAGTTTTGGCTTTTCTTCCTTTTTTTTTTTTTTTTTGAGACAGAGTCTTGCCATTGTCAGCCCAGGCTGGAGTGCAATGGCGCGATCTCAGCTCACTGCAACCTCTGCCTCCTGAGTTCCAGCAATTCTCCTGCCTCAGCTTCCTGAGTAGCTGAGATTATAGGCACCCACCAACAAGCCTGGCTAATTTTTGTATTTTTAGTAAAGGCAGGGTTTCACCATGTTGGCCAGGCTGGTCTCAAACTCCTAACCTCAGGTGATCCACCTCAGGTGATCGGCCTCCAAAAGTGCTGGGATTACAGGCGTGAGTCACCACACCTGGCCAAGTTTTGGCTTTTCTACATTAAATAATTTTAGTTTCTGCTCTGTTCCCCTCCCCTAATACCTGAAAATTAGGAGAAGGATCTAATTAGATGTGGAAAAGCATTCAAATGCATAATAGTAGGTAAAATTAGATAACTGCTTATTTTGAAGAAATTTCACCAAAGAAACAAATGTTCTTTACATTATTTGTAAGCTTCCATTTACAATAGATTTCCAAGGTACTAGGCCTCTGGATTTTACCATTTGCCACTTAAACCTGAAATTGGCTAATAATCAGTGATCTCAGAAGAACTCACCACAGGACAGCCTGAAACGTACAGTCCCTGAAGTGAAGTGCTTGTATGCCATCAATTACATTAATTACCAGTAGTTATAAGTCAGAAAGTAGACCCATGAAGAAAATGGATTCATCTGATAATATTTTCTATTCAAAATTTATTATATTCTATTCAACAGAAATGTACATCAAAACATTCACCCAGAAAACCAGGAGCTAGTAAGGGTACTTCGAGAACAGCTTCAAACAGAACAGGTATTGTATATATATTTATTTGAGGAGTAGATGTGATAGCTCCCTTTGCATGTGAAATTGTGATAGAACATTAGTAAATTACTTTTAGGAAACATGGGCTTCTTTCCAGCTTCAAATTACCTTATATTATTTTATAGATTGTATATTTGCAGAATGGGCAAATTGCCTAGCCTTAATCTATTCAGATGTCTTCATGTTTGTTTATTATTAATTTGCTTTAAAATATAGCAGTTTTCCTATTGTTTATTAGTGTAGAAATAATTGCTGTCTAATTGACCTTAATGAAATGTAGTGGAAAAACCCTTTTTTTCTGATATATATTCCCTAACATCTACAAAGAAATAACTAGAAGAGGTGGCTGTTTTGGTTTTTTTCTCCTTTTTTCTTCAGTTGCCAAAGTTGTAACAATAAAACTAGCTAGGCAAAGAAAAAAGTTAATTTTTTTCCTGTTTGTTCTTTGCTTTTTACCAGATGGAATCTCTAAGAATTGGAGATATACTTTATGAAGCCTGGAATAAATAGGATATTGTACACCTTCATGCCTAGATATCTAACATCAAGAAACAAAATTAAAAATTCCTTTCCTACTGATCAAACTTCACTTCCAATAAGGGTTTCGTTTTTTTAATTAAAAAGAGACAGGGTCTCACTCTGTTGCCCTGGCTGCTGTCTAACTTTTGAGCTCAAGCGCTCCTCCTACCTCGGCCTCCCAGAGTGCTAGGATTACAGTCTGGGCATGGTGGCTCACACCTGTAATCCCAGCACTTTGGGAGGTCGAGGCGGGAGAATCACTTGAGCTTAGGAGTTCCAGACCAGTTTGGGCAGCATGGCAAAACCCTGTCTCTACTAAAAATACAAAAGCTAGCTGGGTATGGTGGTGCACAGCTATAGTCCCAGCTACTCAGGAGGCTGAGGTGGGAGGATCTCATGATCCTGGGAGGTTGAGGCTGCAGTGAGCTGTGCTTGCTCCACTAAAACCAAAGTGCTGGGATTATAAGTGTGAGCCAGCACGCCTGGCCCCAATAAGGGTTTTATAATTTATCCATTCACCAAATATTTTTTGAACATCTACCACATGCCATACATTTTCTAGGCATTGGGAATTCAATCGTGAATTAAACAGACAAAAATTCCTACCCTCATGGAACTTATATTCATTGATACAAGAATAACTTAAGCAGGGCCAGGCACAGTGGCTCATGCCTGTAATCCCAGCACTTTGGGAGGCTGAGGCGGGCGGATCACAAGGTCAGGAGATCAAGACCCTCCTGGCCAACATGGTGACACCCCATCTGCACTAAAAATACAAAAATTAGCTGGGCGTGCTGGTGCACACCTGTTGTCCCAGCTACTTGGGAAACTGAGGCAGGAGAATCACTTGAACCCCGGAGGGGGAGGGTGCAGTGAGCTGAGATTGCGCCACTGTACTCCAGCCTGGTGACAGGGAGCGAGACTCCGTCTAAAAAAAAAGCAATACTTTAAGCCTATTAGTAGTACTCTGTTCCATAACAATTGTTACCCATAATTCATGTTGAGATAGGTTTTATAATTTACAAAGTGATTTCCCAAACAACAATCGTATTTAATCTTTAGACATAAGTAAGGCAATTATAATTATTCTCATTAACATATGAGACTGCTAAGATTTGCTAACACTGACACTAGCGATTTCATGACTGGGTTCAGCTATGGAGGGGCCCCAGATTGAAGTGAATCTTCCAGGTCTCCTTGCAGCAGTGTCCACTCATCTGCCTCACCTCTTCCTGAGGCCCGGCACACAGCTCTCAGAGTGAAAATAAGGCTGGCGATGTAGTCTATTCTTTGCTGTCTAGTATGACAGCCACCAGCCACCTGTGGCTATTCAAGTGAGTTAAATAGAATCTGAAATTAAGTCTTCTAGTCACACTGGCCACATTTCAAGTACACAATGGCCACATGTGGCTCGTGGCTACTGTATTGGACAGCACTGATAAAGATTTCAATTACTGCAGAAAGTTCTATTGGACATCTCTGTTAATTGATTTTTGTCAGTTTCTTTAAAAATTAATAAGGAGAAGGCTGGGTGCAGTGGCTCACGCCTGTAATCCCAGCACTTTGGGAGGCTGAGGCAGGCAGATCACCTGAGGTCAGGAGTTCAAGACCAGCCTGGTCAACATGGCGAAACCCTGTCTCTACTAAAAATACAAATTTAGCCGGGCTTGGTAGTGGCCACTTGTAATCCCAGCTACTCCAGAGGCAGGAGAATCACTTGAACCCGGGAGGCAGAGGTTTCAGTGAGCTGCGATTGTACCACTGCATTCCAGCCTGGGTGACAGAGTGAGACTCTGCCTCAAAAAGAAAAGAAAAGGTGGAGAAGGGAACATAAAGTGCTGTACACTTTTTGTAGCATTAAAACTGACATAAGTGACTATAACATCAAGGTGTAGCCTTGGATCACAGAATATTCTGGTGATTTAGGGCTATTTTGGAAGTATGACCTTTTAGTTATGTTTATTATTATTTAAATTTATTAAATTTGTTTATTAATATTGAGTGGCAAAAATCTGATTCACTTAACAGTTCCTATTTAGTAAATTTGATACTTTTTCTGTAATTAGATATTTTTCATGCTGGCAACTTTATCTGCTGGGTTCCATCAAAACAAGTTTTGATAAATAAGTATTTTTACAATACAATAACATAAGATATACGTTATGTAGACACTTCTTTTTTTTTGAGACAGGGTCTCTGTTGCCCAGGCTGGAGTGTACCAGTGTGATCTCGGCTCACTGCAGCCTCCACCTCTTGAGTGCAAGTGATTCTCCCACCTCACCCTCCCAAGTAGCTGGGACTACAGGTGCACGCCACCATGCCCAGCTAATTTTTGTATTTTGTGGTAGAGACAGGGTTTCACCATGTTGGCCAGGCTGGTCTCAAACTCTTGACCTCAAGTGATCCACCCACCTCAGCCACCCAAAGTGCTGGGATTACAGGTGTAAGCCTCCGTGCCCAGCCATGTAGACACTTTTCTAAGTCCTGAGGTACAATGAGTCCTACAGATAAATCCCTTGCCCTCATGATCCATCCTAGTGAGGTCTTTGATATCTGGATGTTTCTTGCATACGTGCAACACTTTTAAAATGAAAAAGACGTTGAAAATGAAAAAAGTGAAGACTTAGAAAACAGTTTGACATTTGATACTGTTTTCTTTTTGAGACAGGGTCTTGCTCTGTCACCTAGGCTGGAGTGCAGTGGTGCAGTCACGGCTCACTGCAGCTTCAACCTCCCAGGCTCAGGTGACCTCCCACCTCAGTCTCCCAAGTAGCTGGGACTACAGGTGCATGCCACCACCACTCTTGGCTAATTTTTCTATTTTTTATAGAGACAGGGTTTTGCCATGTTGCCCAGGCTCATCTGGAACTCCTGGGCTCAAGTGATCCACCTGCCTCGACCTCCCAAAGTGCTGGGAATACAGGCATGAGTCACTGCACCCGACCTCAATTTTTATCATTGTTAGCTTATGCACTAGCTCAGCCTTGTGTTACTCAGAATAATTTATGTATTCCAGTAGAGTAAAATATGAACTCTTGAGTTAATCTAAGTTTTTGTCTTTAAATTGTGTTTAGGAAGGAAAGTGGAGACCATGCAGCTTAAATAAAAACAATATAGCCTCATAATGTTCTTAAAATTATAACCTTAAACTATTGCACGTTTACAATGTGATGAGGGTTACACACTGTTGACTCTGTTCTCAAATATAATTTAACATGAGATACTGTTGAGGACTACATGTGTTGTATTCCAATGTGTGCACCTGTGTTCTTATTAGGATGCACCTGCTGCTGCTCGACAGCAGTTCTACACCGACATGTACTGTCCCATCTGCCTGCACCAAGCCTCCTTCCCGGTGGAGACCAACTGTGGACATCTTTTTTGTGGTAAGCAAACAACACTATACTTGGGAAAAGTGACTGTTTAGACCAAGACCAAGACCTCTATGTGTACAAAGTCTGGATTCCTAATTTTCTCTTTGTCACATTTTGTATTTTGTGAGTAGGGTAGATTACCTCTGATATCCTGCTCTACTTGTCAACCAAGTATACTTAGCATCTAAATAATATACTTACTTATTTACTTTCTATTTAGTTTGTCCATGTAGCAGCTATGGATTCAGAAGTTAAAGAAACTATTCAGCTTCCCCATAAACAGAAGTGTGTTTCTTTGGACAGTAGTTCAAGTAGATCCATAGCATGAGGGATTCACTGAGTCCCTCTTTGTTCATCACTCTTTGGGAGTTTCATTTATTATTCATCCTTCCCAGGGCAGGAAGGTTCTTCTCTCAAGAACCTGCCCAAGACCCTGCGTTGCCCTCCTGCCTCTTTTGACTCTGAGTTTGTACTGAAAGTCTTAAAGGTCTTAGTCTCAGTATGTTTGTCTCTGTCTCTGTCTGTCTCTCTCTCAACCTCTTGAGGTTTAATGAGGGAGAATGAGAACCCTAGAGCATGCCTTCGGGTAAGAAGAGAATAATTTCACACTTACTTAGTATCAGGAAGGAGTGCTTTCCACCACTCCTCATTTTTCCTGAATCTGCAGATTCAGGAAAATCTTCTATGGCTGATTATGCCATAGCAGGTTGAGGGGCAAAGTATCAGTTATTACAAGCCTATGTATTGGACATTAATATACTTCATCTAACCCCACCTATGAGGAAACAGGCTTTAGAGATATGAAGAAATGTTACAAAGAGACCAGGCACTGTGGCTCACACCTGTAATCTCAGCATAGGCAGGAGGATTGCTTGAGCCCAGGAGTTGGAGGCCAGCCTGGGAAACATAGGGAGACCCTGTCTCCACAAAAAATAAGAAATTAGCCAGGTGCAATAGCTCACATGTGCAGTCCCAGCTACTGGGGAGGCTGAGGTAGGAGAATTGCTTGAGCCCAGGAGCTTGAGGCTGCAATGAGCTGTGATCATGCTACTGCACTTCAGCATGGGCAGCAGAGCAAGATCCTGTCTCAAAAAAATAATAATAATACATTTTACAAAGAGTAGGCCAGCTGTTAAGTGACAGAGCCAATTTTTTTTTTTTTGAAATGGAGTCTCACCTTGTCGCCCAGGCTGGAGTGCAGTGGTGTGCTCTCAGCTCACTGCAACTTCCGCCTCCCAGATTAAAACGATTCTCCTGCCCCAGCCTCCCAAGCAGCTGGGATTATAGGTGCCTGCCACCATGCCCAGCTAATTTTTGTATTTTTAGTAGAGATGGGGTTTCACCATGTTGGCCAGTCTGGTCTCAAACTCCTGACATCGTGATCCACCCACCTTGGCCTCCCAAAGTGCTGGGATTACAGACGTGAGTCACCACACCCAGCCCAGACAGAGCCAAAGATTTTAAACCTAGGTTTATCTTCAATCCCTGTGCTCAGTTCTGCATGATTAGTGGTTCATACAATAGTAAACACTCGAAGCCACTTTGATTTGTCCAGTCACTAGACCTAGTTTTTTATTGTTTCTGTTTAAACAGTTGTGTTCAAGATAGGGTCTTATTGCTCCCAAAATGTAGGAAATTTTCATATAGGGACTAATTTAAAATGTAGCATATAATCATCCTGTAAATTGTGTTGGCCCTTTTGTCTAACTTCATAGTATAGAATTATTAGATACAGTGTTATTTGTGCAGTTGGAGATGGCATATTTGGAACCCATACCATGTAATGGCAGGGTTTTCTGTACCTTGTGCTCTTTCAGTAATCCAATCTCATCATTGCTTCATCCACTCATTCCAGTCTCTTCTTAAAGGTTTTCACTTAAGTAACTAACAAAGTATAAAACGCTTATTTCAGTTTTTAATCTTTTAATTTTCTATTGGAAATGCTAATCACCAGGCAAGTTATGAAAGATTGGGCAGGGAAAATTAAATGGGCATCAGAGAAGGTAGATACATTTCTCCTCTTGAACCTAATCCATGTGACACTCCTTTCCGACATTTGCTCTTGCTGTTCTTAAAACCTGAAGTGTCCTCCCTCCTGTTTTCTGCCTATCTAAATCTCATCTGTCCTATGAAGTTCAGTTCAAATCCTTTGTTCTCTACAAGTTACTCTCTAATGCATACTTCTCTGCACTCCTTTTTT